TGGGAAATATCCATTTTTTCTGGTTGGGTCAACGGCTGAGGTAGGATGATTAAGAACTGACCCAACCACTGAGACTGAGCCAAGAGATGGGGCTATGGCGTTGTTTCTAACAAACCTTGAGAAGTCGTGGCTCGTAGCAAAGGTCCGTGCTCCCCTGCACTTCAAAACAGGATGCTTCAGGTCCCACATTCATTTGCAGGAGGTTTTTTGCTTCGCTTTGCCAGACATCGAAGGAACGCGCTTCCTCTACATGCCCCTGGAAAGGGTGAAGAGAGGCATCTCCAGACACGACGTGGAGCAACAGATTCTCATGGCCGCCTCTCTGATTGCAAAAGGCTTCCCTTTGCCCGTGGACCCGGAGGAGAATCTTGGAGTGACAAAGTGACTTCTTGGACTTTTGCCTTGTTGCCAGCTTCTTTTTACTGCCCTTGATTCATGTTTTGGGTGCTATGATCCATTTTGACAATAAGGTCGCTTCATTGAAGGGCACTAAACACATTCTGGTGTTTTGTCTTTCTTCAATAGCCCTTTTGAGCCCCTTTCCACGCGAGCCGCCCCATGACAGGAGTGGGTATAGACTCAGGGGCGTCCTCCCATCTCAAGGAGTCCCATCGACGCGCCGCCCGAAAGCCCGCCTGTTCGCCCGCCCGAAAGCCCGAAAGCCCGAAAGCCCAATCCGGGCACAAACAACTACAAGTACTTGAATTTGAGTTTTCAAAATGGAGTGCGATCACGACAATGAGAGTATAATTTGAACTTTAGAACTTGGTCCATTGTTGTTGTTGCAAGCAGGTCCAGCCACGCTCCAGTTTGGCCAAGCCGTGATTGATCAGAGGTTCGCCGCAGGGCCCTGCTTTTCAAGTTTGCCGGGGGGGGGGGGGCCGATTCGACCATTCCTAATGCAAGGTCACCCAAAATATCGTCAGTATACCAACAATAGCGTTGCCCTCCCCCCCCAAAAGACAAGGAAAGAAAGACGGAAAGACAGAAAGAAGGAAGGAAGGAAGGAAAGAAAGAAAGAAAGAAAGAGCAAAACACAAAGCAGCGTAGGCGAAACTTGTCCAGCACAGGAACGCAGGGCAAAAGGATCACCGTGGGACCACCCTGTAGAACGGTTCCATTTCCCATGGGATGCGCCCATCGGCCAACTGAATCATCCCCCTCATTGGTGGTTTGGATTGGTGGGAGTTGAACGCCTAGCTCCTGTAGAGGGTAACTGGGAAACCCCTACCCCCCTCCGAACATCTAAACCGCAAATGAGCGGGGAAGCTGCTGGAAACGGAATACTAGGAGGATGTGTCTTTTTGTTGAGGGTGCCCCTTTTCACTGGCGTTATGAGGAAACCAACCGGAAAACCACCAATTTGGAGGGAGCCCCGTGATTTACTGTCCGTGGTCATAAGGAACCTGTCCATCTTCGGGCGTATCATCCGCGAGCTGGGCGCTACATCTGAAAGCTCACGAAAGGGACTGCAGGGCCGAGAGCCTTGCCCAAGGACCTGGCGGCGATTTTTTTGCTTGGACTGGGGTCCTTCTGGCGAGTTGATGGGATCTTTGGACTTTTAACCTTTTGGTTGAAACAGCTCGGATTTTCCATTGGACCCATAAAAAGTTGAACTTGTTGCAGAGGGGTCAACAGCAACCCGCAACCAAGTTATGTTGTTTGTTGGGGGGTGAAAGTTAGAAAATGGGCCTGCTTCCCTTTAATCTAGAGGCCAGTTGGATTGACCTTAAGCTTGAAAGGTTTCAAGACTTTGGTGCGGGGTCGAGATGGCCAAGCCATCTGACCGTCTGGTTGCCCATTGTTGCTTCTTTCTTTTTGATGCGTTGCTTCGGAGTCTGTTCGGTTTGACAATTGGGTTTGGAAGTCTTGTTTGTTTTTCGTCTAGGCCCGGTGAGAAATATGAGAAACATGGCATGAATGCACACCCTTCCTGGAGTTCTTAGTTTCTGCTTGGTCGTAGTTTGTCTTTCGTTTCACCTTTTTCATGCTTGCCTTTGCATCCTTTTCCGTGGCTCTTCCCTTTTGGTCGGTTTGATCTTTTTTAGTCAGACGTGGTTCCTGGTTCCGGAATTCCTCCATGGGTTTCGGTCCAGGAGAGTCGGGTGACAGCACGTTGGTTTTCACAACGAACACCCTGCAAATAGAGTATCAACTCCAAAAGAAACGCAGACGTCTCGGTGGTTACATGTTACTCTGCACGGTGAGGTCTGATTGAAAAAAGCGACTCATCGCTTGAGTGCTGCACGAGTCTCCCAAAGCCGACCTTTTGACCGTTTGGTTTTCGCCTTTCGGCCTATAAAGGTTCCAAAAGGTGATCTTGGTTGGAAGTTATGGGCCGTTTGGGCAAGTGAGATTTGGCTTAGAGCTTCGATTCCTCAATTGGATGGAACACCGGTTTCTGTTTGGATGAACGGGCGTTGACTAAGATTATAGGTTTGAGGATTCGTTCAGTTTTTCTTCGCATGTAGAATTTCGATGCGCCTGGGGCTGGGGATGCAGAGCACTGAGCAAAAAATGTTTGCAGCTCAGGAGCAGACGGACGGAGGTTTCCTGTGCCATCAGCGGCCCACTGGTCAGACCTCCCTCTCTGCCACTTGGGCCTTGGAGTGCCTGGAAGTTGGTGTCCAAAATCGTTGTTAAACTAGGTTTTCCAGTAGTGCCCTTTTGCCGTTTCTTTTTTTTGAGTGGGAGGGTTCCCCTACTAAAAATAGACTAAACCGAAAAAAGAAACGGCACCCTTATTCTAACCTCTCTACTGGATGACCTAGTGAAGGTCCCTGGCAAAACTCGGCATACGGCTCTGGCTGGCTCGATCCAACGGGACAATGGACCCAAATTGTTTATGGCCCGAACGGTCTGCCCGTTTGCCCATGTTTCCGTTCAACTAGCAACAAGTTGTTTTGTGTTTTGCCGGGGTCTGAGTCTAAGTTTGGCCAAGTGTTGGGAGGGACAAGTGCGAATTGTCTGCAAACCTGTACCAAAGAGCATTTTTCAAGGGAGATCTGGGGTTGGTGCCCCTTGATTGCTTGGGATGCAAATCTTGGGGGTAGTTGGCCAAGCCAGAGTTCAACCTGTTGAGCTTAGATTTCTTCAACATGTTATGGTCCAGTAGAAGCCATCAGTCCATCGCCTTTGCGAGATCCAGTGATTCCGCAAGGCTTTGTGTGAGAATACCTTTCAGGAAATGTGAGTGATGTTTGAACAGGACACGCAAGAAACTACAACCTGAGTCCCTACTGACGCCTACGCCGGTGTAATCTATTTTGGTTTTGCATACCTTCTCCTCCTCCTCCTCCTCCTCCTCCTCCTCCTCCTCCTCCTCCTACCGGTTGCTTGTGATCCCCAGGGCAACACATGCCAACACAAGTAACTTTCCATGTTTGACGGTGTACTCTACTTGTTGAGAAGATCAGTGCCTCCAAAAGCCGACCAAACCACTGAAGTAAACAAGTTATGTGTTCGAATTCAATTCTGAATCCTTAATTATCCCAGATGGTACCTACGGATTATGCACCAGGATCAGCAAAGACCCTTTGAACAGCTTGTATTCACAGGGCTGCCATGCCTGCTGCTTCAATTCCGGATTTTCTTCGTCAGCGATGTGGTGCTGAGGACTTGGTCTTCGAGCGCACGCTGCAAGCCAAGAACCTCCTCTTCCAGCTGCCCCGTTCCATTCCTTTGACGGAGGCCTGCCAGATCGACCTCACGCTGCTCCGCCCGGGGCCCCGGAAATCGGAACTCCAATCACTTCGCTGCATTTTGCCAAGGGATGTTAGGACTTTAACTTTTTGCCAACTAAGGGGGATTTTCCATTAAACCACTAAAAGTTAAACTTTTAGCAGGGGAGCAGAAAGCAACCGAGATCAGATCTCCAATCAGAATTCGAAAAGTGGATTAGGGGTCTGGGGTCTTCATGGGTGTCGGGAGACCGCCTTTTGGCGGGCCTTCTGACCAAAAGGGTATCGACCATTTTTGGGGGCCCAGTTTTGAGAGAAACCCTTGCAGTTCATCCTTCGGGTGGAAAACGGCACCCCCCGTTATTTTTCAGCTTTTCCAAAGGTCAAAAAGGGGTGGGTCATGTTTATCATTCCAGACCCCCGGGTTAGCACCTAATTGGGGGGGCATTGAACAGCTCTGGAAGGTCCAGGGTATGTGACAAGTGAGCCATATCATATAAGGGGCAAAATAATTGGAATTGGGCTTTGGGGTGGAGTGTAGCCACATTTAGTCATGTTTCTAGAAGTCAACTCTGAGTAATTATTCCGGCCCTTGCATTCTTTGAGCGATGCCTAAGTGGCTCCAACTTAAGCGCTTGGTTTTAGGATTGACCTGGTCGAAGTCTGGGCCCTAGGCAGACTGAAGCGGAAGCACAACCTCACGGCGGTTCTGAATTTGGAGGAGTCGAGCTGCGAGTGCGTCGCCTGTGAAGCCTGTGGCCTCCTTTAGTCGGCATGCAGACGTCTTCTCCTGTGAGTGGAAAACATCCGCAAACCCATGCGAGTTTGAGGGAGGGCAAAAAGAGCGAGCGCGCGAGAGAGAGAGAGAGAGAAAGAAAGAAAGAAAGAAAGCCCAACTTCCCAGACCTGGCTGCCTTTGATTCTTTAGGCCTGCAACAACGCGTGGACAAAATGAACGAGAACTAGTCAAACAGTTGGAGTGTTCCGAAGGGAGCGATAGAACATATTCACGGCTTAGCCTAAGAAGCCTCACGGTTCTGGGTTACCAGCCGGTCCCCTTTGCCTGGATGCTGTCGGTTACTGCACGCCCTGAAAAGCGTGGCGAAACAGAGTGCCACCCGGCCATCCCACCAACAAACATGGGTGCACAGACCCATGTTGCAAGACCCTTTGTGAAGGCACTACAATGACTACTTAGAATGGGGGTCGGGTGCTACAAGACCTGGCTAAGTCAATAGACACCTCCTGTTCCCCACCTAAAAGACTGAAATATGCAAATGGCCGCAAAAAAGAAGCTTGCACCAACGACTCGACCCGCAGGTGACCGACTGGTGGGTGGTGGATGAGTGCAACAAGGTCTGCGGCGGAGGGGAGGCGCGAGCCCGAAGAACGGGGATTACTGAGTGCCTTGAGGTGAACATGGGGTTCTCAACATGTCTATTCAAATGCACCAGGAACTAACGCCAATTTATGGATTTTGTTTGCCCTTCAACAGTTCGGTCCGTCTGCCAAAAGTTTTAGGGGAGAAGCTGGAAATATGGGTTGGAGATATGGAGTAGCCTGTGCCCAAAAACAGGTTGGTTGCCTTTCGGGCGATTTGCTATGGCTTGGTGGTTTCCAATAGTCCCCTTGGTTGTTCTGGTTTTTCTCTCTCTGTTTTTTTGCTTTTAGGGTTTTAGTGTTTTTAGGGCTTAGTGGTAACTTCCAGCCAACCCTAGAAGTTAGACTTTTAGCGGGGATCTGAGGACCTTTAGACTCCTCCCGAGTTGCCTTGGCCCCATGGGTTTGGGTCAAATCGGGGATCGCAAGCCTGGCCTTTCGAGTTGCAGACCCGCGTTTTCGGCAGGTGAATATGAGGCGCGCCATCACGCAGGAGGCGGGTTCCAATCCCCTTGCGCCGATGTAGCATGGACCCAGAACCCATACGGGTCACATGGTGTGGGAATGGTTCCTGAGATGCCATGCTTGTCCCCATTTGGGGGAAAGAAGCACACGCAGCTTCCATTCATTCTGCATTCGATGTTTGCCACTTAAGGGAACCCCTTGTTTTCGGAGCATTGACCTCTCAAGCCCGAATAAGAGTTGATGAGCAAACGCACGCATGGCTTCCTAAACAAAGAAGCCTCTTCATGGGTAGAGCACATATGGCGTCCCCTAGCTATGTCTTATGTTTAACGAAGAGCGAAGATGCCTTTTTCCAAAGAGCCCGGACTAGACAGGTTCCAATCAACGGGTTCCGATCACTCGCAAAGGACAATGTGTAGCATCTGACCACACACATTGGTTTGCCTTTGGTTACCTTTAAACTTGGGCAACTTTGGTGAACACCTGACTGGGGTTTTGAGGGTACCACTTTTGCCATGGCTTTGGGAAGCCAAGAGGACAACCGTTTTGAGGGTCCCTATTTTGAGACAAAGCCGACTGTTACCATGGACGAAATCCTGCACTTGGGGCAAATGGAAGCTTGCAAGTAGCTAACATTGGTGCACAATGCAACCTATAAGGTACAAACTTTCCGTAGTAATCTTTGTTTTTCGAAATAGCGTTAGGTAGATGGGTGAATGAAACCGCCAACCTGGCGCAAACTGGGGTTCTGTTCACGCGAGGCCACCGGAGGCGGCGAGGCATGCCCCAGCCAGTCAGAGCTCTACAAGGCGACGGACAGGGGTGGTTCGCCTTTCGACTTCCGTCCCGGCGCCTTAGTTTTTTTGTTTTCCTGTTTAATATATTATATATATATATATTATTTTCGCGGGAATCAATTGGAATTATGGGGTTGGGAATATGGAGGAACCCTTCCCCCCACAACAGGTTGACGACCTTTCGTTTGAGTTGTTTTTGCTTGTTCCCGGTGGTCCGTTTTTAGGGTCCAGTGGGGGCTGTCCATTTAACCCGCAAAAACTAAGGGCAGCCCAGCTTTGTCAAGGAAACCAAGGAATCCAGATGGGTGTGTTTGTTATTGTTTGAACTCTTTGTCGGGGAGTTGTTGGACAACCACCATTTTGTGGTTCCCCAAATGAAAAAAGACACACCCGGATCAGGACGCGGAAGAAACTACAACAAACACAAAAAACACAAGGAAACACCAGGAACCCACAACAAGATTTCAGGATACAGAAAGGGAATGAAAAGTACATTTGCAGGAAACCACAAAGCAAGAAGCCGCACAAAGAACACAAGAACAAGCAGGCAACCGCAAGAACAGCAAGGAAACGAAGGAACGCACAGAGAGCGGGAGCAACCATCGAACTTGGGGGTGATTCCCGGAATTAGCGTTTCCTACACGTTCTTCTCAGATGTTTGCAACCTCCCGCTACGTTGTCACGTGGAAAGATATGGAACATATGTATTGCCACCGCGGCTGCGCCCTGGCAAACCGATTGAAAGTCGAGCTTTCCGAACCCAGAATGACTCTAGATGGCAAAAAGCCACCGGTCCCAGGACCCTGGGAAGCAAAGGAAGCTGCTTTCGAAGGAATTCGGGGTTTGTGTGTTGCACTGGAGCCGGAGATTGAAGATTGCCCATTCCCAAGCAAACGATCTTGGGTATTGGAGCTTTCTAAAGAGTAGCGACCTCCTTCAGGCGAGTTTCCATTTTGAGTTTCCCTCGCAGCCATCCAGGACTTCTACTTTGAGAAACACCAATTTTGCTGGCTGCTTTGAGACCCTTGATCCAAACATATCGGCTACTCCCGGGAAAATTTTCGGAAGCCCTTGACCCCTGGGGAATGTCAACCGTTTCAGCGTTTCTCCTGGCGATTATCCCGCAGCCCATTTTTGTGAGCAACCCGCACAAAGGCAACCGTGCTTGGATTGCTTGCTTTTTTGGTGAGTTCTGTGCGGGTTCCTGTTAAGGTGGTGAAAGGGTGCGGATTTGTTGCGCACAGTCATAGGATCCAATTCCCGTGGTCGCCCCCCGGGTTTGTGCGAAACAAAGGCTTCTGAATGAGATGGTAGCTGGTTCATCACAGTGTTCATAGAGTTACATCCATCCCAACTGGTAGGCCTCAATCGAATCTAGTTTTGGGACGTTTTGGGAAGAGTCGGGGGAAGGCAGGCGGTTAGGGGACGGATGGCGACCCCACGGCCCGCAACGTTGGCAGGTGGAGCAGTGTAACATGAACCCTTGCCCTTTGGCGCGCCTGGATCGCCCTTCGGCAAGGAGATGCCGAAGTCTTTTTTGTCGCTATTGTGGCTGCACGGAATCCCTTCGCACCGCCTAAAACACCCTGGAATGATGATCCCCCGGCAAATTAAAATACCAACAAACTCTGGTTTCCCTTCGGTTTCAAAGTGGTGCAGGATTTCGTTCATCCACAGTATGAGTTTGCATCGGGAACCTCCCTCAAACGTTGGTGGGCGTGAATCCCCGCCATGACTTGCGGCTGGATGGGGTTGTGTCACAACATCCCCAGTTCAGGGGATGTCCGCGAAATCCTTTTTGTTGAACTCCGCCCGTAAAATACATGTTTGTTCTTTGGGTTACCCCACTTGAGGATCGAGACCAGGATGGGTTGACTTTGCTCTCCCAGGGTCATTGTACAGTGTGCTTCCCAACCATTCTGACTCCAGGGTGTGTTTTTTGCAGAAAATCCGACTTCCTGAGTTTCTGGACTTTAAACTTGTTGGGGAGACCGTTTTAGTGGTGAACAAAAAGTTGACTTTTTCTGGCCAATGCACTTAGGACGTGAGAACTGCATTCAAAAGGCCCAGAAGCTGGATGGTTGGTCCAAGAGGGATGGCTGCGCGAAAGAAAAACTCGTTCATTCAGGCTTCTTAGCGCCAGTCAAAACCTGGACAGATACCATAGTTACCTTGGTTGCTTGAGGTCGAGTTTCAAGAAACTTATTCGTAGGTGTCCTTTGAGCACCATGCGTAAACCAGGGCTTCCCCGTTTTCTGTCACCGGCGTCCAAAGAAAGGAAGCTAAGAATCCTGTCGGGCGAGCAGGCAACCACTTCTGTGATGAAATCTGCCTTCCGCACCTGCTTTGTAGCACGCGGCCCTGAGAGACGCGCTGTGGTTGTCCCTCCAAATCCTCAAGTCTTGGCTTCAGGAGACGCCAACAGACATGGAACCCAAAGCACCATGGAGCCTCATGCTGATCCGACCTGTTTGAGATAGGTGAAGCATTCTCCCAGCTGTTCAGTGGCACCCTTGAAATCCTTGCTTGGTTCCCTCGGAATGAGTCAACCCCCAACAACGGTTCACTCAACTGCCGCACTTGTTGCAACTGAAGGAACGTAACTTGTCTTCAACATTCTGAGTCAGCAAGGTCGAAGAACCATTTGCCTTAAGGTCGAAGAACGAATGCGGCGTCCAGTTCTTGCGACCCTTTCGGCTTAGGTGTGGTTGTGGAGCCGGCCAAGCTCTACGCGGGCCAAAAGCTCGGCCAGTGGGGGGAAAAAGGATCAGGGCTGGGCGTCCCTTTGTGGGTTTTCCCCCAATGGTCAAGGCCTTGGTCCTTATTAACAACATGGGGTGGGGGGGGGGGCAAACAAAGAACGTGTTTATTCCCTTATCATGACGAACTATGGTTTAATGTACCCATCCCCGTTCTTTGAGGCAGCCCCTTCCAGCTCACCATCGAGGGCGAGTGGCTGGATCCGGACAGCGACCGCCCTGCACTGAGCCATGCTACAGATGCCGGGTTGGCCAATTGGCCTCGGCCCTGCTGTGGACGGACAATCCTGCACCACCTAAAAACCCTGAAATGATGATTCCCCGTAAATGCCAACCAACAATGGTTTCTCATGGTTTCCAAGCGGTGCAGGATTTCGTCCATCCACAGAATGATAATGACCTTTTTTGGTTTCAAAGCACCCTGTTCTCGTTCTCAAGCCCTTAGTTCCAATGTTTGGAACCAGCTGGTGGACTTGAGTCCTTTTGTAAGGCATTTACACTAATCCAACCGCTAAAGCAGCATACTCACGAGCACGGCTCCCAACCCTCCATTTGCTCAAGGACGTGGTGTAAACGCAATTTATAGCATCAGCCGAGCACAATTACGTTTTGAATTGTGTAGTCCCCTATGATAATGACAAAGTACGCCGCTCATTTGGCTGCTTTGTGCGTAGGTCGGATCCCCAGGCTAGCGAGACATGGCAACTATCACAATGGTGAAGGTACCGTTGAGCGCCACGGGGATGCCAGCGGTTCATCCGGAAGGATACCAAGGGTTGTCAAGGAGAAAGAAAGTGTCTGAAGCCCTTCCTGAGCCACGTGGCGGTGGACACGGATGTAAAGATCAGCGTTTGCAAGCCCCCTTCAGAAGCTCCACGTGCCTTAGACACTTCGACCAATGTTCAGTGCAGATGGCCATCCATGAACGGCCATTCTTTTGTGTCAGGAGTCCAAGGGCAAGGCAAAGTTCATCTCAACTTGAGCTGCTGGCTCAAGGATGTCGATCTGCCAGACACCCTCATCATTTCCGGGTGCCACGTCACCCCTAGTTGACTTTGGGTTTTCGTGTTTTCAAGGTATGCGGGGCTGCTCTGTTTTGAAGAAAAGCACACACACAAAAAGAGAAAAAGAAGAAACAAAAAAAACACCCAACTTGGGGGTGTCCTGGATGCGCCTTTCGGGCTCGGGCACGAGGAATCGTTCTGGTGGACAAGGACCAAGTCTGCGGCGCCACTCAGGCTCGAAATCCCCGGCCGCTAACGCGCCGCCCTGTGAAGGGCTTCGGTTTTTCCCCCACAAGGTGGGGACACTGCAAACATGGGTGTCTTTCTTAGGCTGGTCTGATTAGAAGTCGATCGCACTGGTTCAGATTGGGAAGATTCCGTCAGGGCCATCTATTTTGCCAAAAGGTCGCTGACCCTATGGCTGCAAAGCCAGGAGGAATTGCGCCAACCCGACAAGAGCAAGTTCCGCACGTTCAAAGGATTTTGGCGAATTCACCCTAGGGCTGCGATGGGCTTTACGGCTCTGAACACCTGATTTCTTAGAGGGGCCCGAAAGGAGATGCCTGCCAAATATCCAGTTGAGTTTGTGGTTTTCAGATGCAAGGTTGCCATTCCGAATTGGCAAAGGGGCATTGCCGCAAATGCTCTCTTATTCAGAGATCAGGGGATGCTGCACAGGTTGATCTCCATTGTTTTAGCTTCGCCTTCTTTCTGAGAACCACGGGGCTTTGCCTTTGTCAGTTTCCCACACTCTTGAGCCGAGCTATCGTTCCTTATTGAACAGGTGGCCGGCCCGGCCGCTCGCTTAGCTGATTCACCCATAATTTCTCACTTTCTTTCAGAGTTTGGTCCTAGGTTGACCTTTCAAGATCCTAGCGAATCTGTTCTTCTATTTTTGGGTCTGTCCTTTTGCTTGGGGGCGGGGACGAAAGCGCCAGTTTGCAAATATTTGGCAGGCCTTGGAAAGGCGTCCAGAAAAAGAAGTCTCCTTCCGAACCTTTCCATTCCTGTAGGGTGAATGGGGACCTTAGGCTCTCTCCCTAAACATTTTGAAGCTCACCTCCCCGAATAGCATTCCCTCCAAAATCGGCGGCCAGAAACCAGCCTGGCTACTTGGATGGGAGGACACTTTTTCCAACTTTGCAGCCCATATTCCCCCGCGGTGTGCGGATGTGTTGTAGAACATGCTTGCTTTATGTTGGAACTCCTTCTTTCAGAGCGGCTTCCACGGATAAATCATCCCAAGCAATGGGTGATATTTTACAGTCACTCTTCACCAGAGGCAGAGATGCGTGCATTCAAGCTTCTTTTCTGGATACTTTTTAAGCGGCAACTTCACTCAACACTCACCAATTATGACTCAATCTAGTGTTCAAGCACCCCGCCAGCCGACTCTATGTTTGCAGGTCTTTCTAGTAGGCATCGCCATAGAGGGTGTATACATGTCTAAGCATCTTCAGTTTGCCCTTGGGAAGCGGTTTGAGGGTGGAACCCCCGTATGATTCTTGCGCGCCTGGCCCAAGAGGCCATGGGAAGCTCGGAGTTTGAGGGGCCAAAGAATCACCTTAAATACTTTCCCGTGCCGGTGACCACCCAATTCTAGCCATTGAATTCAAAGGCTGAATGAAAACGTCCAGAAATGAATCCCGTGGTATGAGTTCCTAGTGAATGGTTTAACTAGTCGTTAGTCATGGCTTAATCGATTTAGGAATCAGCCCTTTTAAAGGGTCCAAAATGGCCATGGATCATGGGTTTATACGCGGAGCTAGGCAATCAGACTGCCAAGTGTCTCCAGGCCCCGAGAAAATAAAACGTCAGGTGCACCACGGGGGCGCCGCGTGTGATCAGTACAGCTCCAGCAACTATCGCCTGGTCTGCGGCAATGGCCTGGCGCCCGAACCGGTTGCCCTGGGAAAATGCGTCGCTTTTTTGTGGAATCCAGATTTGGTGTTGGGGGCAACCTCCTCCAACACGTAAGCCCGTGGGATGGACTCCACTGGCCGCACTTCATAATCAGTGTTCGATACTCGCGATTTTTCCAAACAGGGCCTCCAGGAGCTTCCTTACGTGCGTGTTCCACAACTCGCTCCGTGAGTTCCTCAACTTGAGTAACTTTTGGGGAAGAGACCAGATGGGCAAATTGCCGTGGGGTTCGCCCTTGCTGTGCAAACCATCCCCCCAAAAACAAGCGGGGCTTCCAACTGTTGCGTGAACATGAGCAGTTTGACCCAATGAAGAGCCAATGGATTCAGTTGCCGTTCGTGCACTATGTTGCCGTCCCCATGTTCCAGAATGCATTCTGGTTTGGACTCCACCTGTTACAGACGGCGCCCGTGTCAGGTTGCCGAATTAATCTAAGGTTTTCACCGTAGCACTGTTGTAACACGGATCCACAGCTTGATTCGGCATCCAAAAGGAAAACCAACATGCTGTTGTTCCGACATTTGTTTGGCCTCAGTGTTGACTCCAATGACTCCAAGAAACAGAAAGTCAGGCAGCCATATTTTCCTGATTTCTCTTCAATTGACATGGGACCCCAAACTGGGATCCAAAAAGAAGAGAGATTCCTCCAAAATAAGCTCAGGTGATATCCCCAACAGCATGCAGTGCTCTTTTTAGTGCTCACACCTCACAGCCCTCGTAAAACCCTCGTGGAACCTTGGTGGAACCTTGGTGGAACCCTGGTGGAACCCTGGTGCAACTCTGGTGGAACTCTGGTGGAACCCTGGTAAAACCCTGGTTGAACCCTCGTGGAACTCTGGTGGAACCCTGGTAAAACCCTGGTGGAACCCTGGTGGAACCCTCGTGGAACCTTACCTCAGGGCCACCCCGGACCACCCCGGAGCCTATCTGGGCTGAAACCCCAAAGCTTTCAGCTGTTGGGGAAAAATCTAAAGATCGTGTTTGTTTCTTTGTCTGTAAATCTTGGACTATAGGCAGGACCCCCGCTCAATATCTCGCAAGACAGACCTGATGGGGCCCACGCCTTTCCTCTCGTGACAGGCTCACGGAAACTCAGCAATGACTCCCCCACAAAAGGCCCAAATCATGGCTTGGATCAGTGCTCTTTGGTGGTGAGTCTTCAGGCACTGATCTACATTCACAGTTGTTTGGTAACAAGTGCGCAAAACAAGACCTGGATAAAATCTGATAGATGGCAATGTGCAGTCTCAGATTTGCTTGCTTCCGATCGTGAGGTGCCCCTTCACATTTTTGTCTTGACGACGCACGTGATGACAAGCCCACCATTTCTGGGGCGTGCGAGGAAAGACGTCAAAACACCAGATTGGCAATGCTTGGCGTTGCGCCTCGCCTTGTTAGTTTGTTGTGTTTGCAAAAAGGGTCATTACCATTTTAAACATCATAAGGCTTTGACTCCATTGACCATGGCTCAAATGAGAACACCCACGTGTGACATCGTGTGACCGGCCGGAATGACGCAGAACGCGCGCAATTGAATCGGAATGTGTTGCCCACTTCATGGCTGCGGGGGCCTTCTCCTGAATTTCCGAGACCTTGTCAACCTAAAAAGGGTACACCCTTGATGTCAAGCCCAAGGCCCTTTAACCCCCTTGTGCGTTGGATTAACATGGTTGTTGGGACACATTTTACATTTTGCTTTTTGTGGTTTAGTGGGAAACCCCACTTAACTGCTAAGATGTATTTTGTTTCTCCCTTTCAACGTCAACCAAGTTAAGTTTGGACCCATATTTTTTCGCCCTCTAACATACCTAGCCCTTGGCTCTTTACTCAACCCTAGATGCAACGTGGGTATACATGACTCTGTGAATCTATGACCCCAGCAGCATGGGCACAAGGGCGCATGTCTCTCGTTGAGGGCACCCTCTTCAAGTTGGCTTGTAGGGGAATCGCAAATCATAGGAAAACCACTTTTTTTGGGAGGCTCCCCCTGTTTTAACACACCCACATGGCTCTTACGGATCCGCCACTCAGTGTCCCACAGCGAATCGACCTCATGACCTTTTGCTTTTTCCAATTTGGCTGCAGCGTTCGTCCAGGTGCCAAACCCTTCGCCTTTCTATTTCCGGGCTGAGACTCAAGGCTTCCTGGGCTCCATTCGGCCGGAAGTTCGCATGGCACGGCTCCCATGGCGACTCCGGCGGAGCCAGCGGCGCCCTCGGCGGTGTGCGTCTTCGGGGCGGCGGCATGGAGCTCCTCCATCAACGGCGCGCCGCGGTGAGAAAAAAAGAAGAGCCAGGTTTTGTGAGTGGCGTCGATCCTAGACCTCCAGTGGGTTGCTTCCTTCTTGTCCTCTTCGTGAGGCGGGATTCCCTTTTTTTTTTTGCAGCATTGCTGGTGTTGTTTTGCCGACTTGAAGTGGGCTTCCTTTTTGGGGCCACGTTGAAGCCAAAGATATAGGGAACCCAGGTTTTGAATTGAACGAGTTCTGATCGGTTGTGCGAAGGACAACCATGTAGCATCCGACTTTGGAACTGATGTGTTCGAACACATTTAGTCACCCAAAATGTTTTGGTGACGCCCAGGGAGTGGGAGGTTCTAGGGAATCAACCACACCTGGTCTTACGTCTCCCATTGACTGGGCTTGCATCTACCTTGGGTAATCCAACAATGGAACTCGGGTTGAATGATTCCAGGGTGCCCCCCCCTTGCTTTCATGTTCTAAACCGCCAACTGGTTTCAGCCTTGTTTGTCTCTAGGATGAGGCCCTGATTGTATCGATTTTGCTCCGAGTCAATGCCAGGGAAATGTTTTTGTTCTTTCTTGGGCCTGTTTCAGTTCCCAGCAGTTCACTCCCCAATTCTTCCCAGAGTCACCCCACCAACTCCCCAGCAGATAAGACCCCCCCACGAAAGGGCCTTGACCTTTACGAAGGCCATTGGATGGAAATGAGGTTTTTCAACAGCGATTTGAGAGGCTAAAATTGGAGAACAGTGGGGGACCACCCAAAAGTCAATTGGGTTGACAACCGTTTTGTCCATGCCCCCTTGGAAAACACACATGGTTGTCCATGAGTCATGTGTTTCATGCTCGACGCGGCTTTCCTTCACCGACAAGCCTGTTGGATTTTGGTTGTTGGGAATCGTGGAATCCACTCATTTTCCCATGGAATCCGTTCATTTTCCCACGCATCCACTTGATCCTTGGATTATACTGGTTGTAATTGAACCGGGTGCCATGTTAGGAAAGTCTGCTTTAACTCTCAGTTTTGCACTTGGGGTTGCGGCAGCTTACCCTTAATTTGTGGTTTGGATGAGGCACCACCATTTTAGCCGGGGAATCATCGAAATTTCTCTCTGAATGATGGATCAAATCCGCAAACCACCCAACATAATTTGGCAAACCCTCCAAATACAGCCGCTTTCAGGGACCCAGTTAGCAGGACTAACCAACCTCTGGTTTAATAATGGGGGAGTGTCCCGTTCAAGGATAAATGATTGATCAAGGGACCCAGCTTAAGCGCAATCGGAATTTGAAAACCACTTTTCAAAATAAGGAATCACGCCAACTTTTGAGAGACGGATCCAATTGGAGGCAATATTAAAAAGGGGAAGTTTGAGGATGCGGGGGAACGCCTAAAAAATCAGCAGCCGCTCTGCAGCTGAGGAGTACCTACGCACAGAGCAGGATGGCCGGCCCGCAGCGACTTGATCCTTTTGCTTGGGGACTGGGGTCATTTTGACCGTTTCTAGGGGTTATCAAAGTCAGAAATGGGGGTTGTTTCCTTTACCACTTAGGGGGTGACTTTGACAATGGTAAAATAATGGGGCCAGGGGGGATCCTGGTGGACCATCTGCATTCATTTTTTGTATCTTCAGGTTATGGAATTTTGTTGTAAAGATTGCAGGGCCTTTGTTCGTGGCAGTTTGCTTGGCGGTGGGAGGCATTCTAAGAGCATTGATCTCACCGCTTATTTTGTGGATTGAATTGGCGGTTGGAAGGTGGGGGGGCGGCCTTCCCTTTTAATTTTCAATAGACGGGTTTCAGATCCCCAGTTCCCTCTTGCCAGATTGGTTGCTTGCGTTCGTTCCCTAGGTTTTTGGCTCTCTGTTTTTGTTTTGTTTTGCTCATTTTGGGCGGGATTAAGCCCCATCCCATGCCAGGTGTATCAGAAGCCGATGGGAAGCTGAGCTGGTTACGTATTGAGATCAGGAACCTCTCCAAATGGATCCCTTTGTGCATTTCCTGGGTCAGAATGACCTCCCTATAGATCGCTGTTTTCAATGGTGAGTTGGGGGTCACGCCTCAGGTCGGGGCACCCAAGTTGTAGAAAACATGTTTTTTGTAGACTCGTGTATTGGGCCTTGTAAATTGCAATAACACGGGTTCAGCAATTGGTCAATCATTTTGTAGAGGCTACATGTCTCGTGTTTTCTCTGAGGGCCATGTTGAGGTGTTGGGCCTGGTCATGTCAGCATTAGGCATGAGATACTGTTGAGTTGTGTAGAGATTTGGCTTGGTTGAAGCAATTGTTGCCATTTTGCTTTATTTTGTGCGTAGTTGTGCAGCCTTTGCACTCCCCTTATGTTTGCCCGCGCGCTTCGCATGCTCCTGAACTCCTTGATGAATTGACTAGGCGGACTGGGAGGGATTGAATTAACTAACACCCGCACAAATGCTGCGTTCGAGGCCACCGGGTTGGGGTAGTGTTGTTCTGCAGCATTGAATGCCAGATACTGTAGGGGTGTCCAGCTCATCTGAGGGAAAGACAAATGGAAGGGAGAAAGTTAAGGACAGTGGGTGGGTATGTGTGTGCGAGCCTTGTTGAAGCTATCTTCACGCATTTTCCCCACACGATGGGTCTCCAGGTGTTGCACCAAATTATATCAGTTGACCACTTGGTTTTGGAACAAATATTTCGCGAATTCAGCGAGTTGCCCGCAAAATCGTAGACTCCTTTGGCAT